CCAGCCTAGTCGTGTAGCCGGCAGTACACTATGTATTTTGGACTCTTAAATTCTTAATTGTCTGTGGATTTTAAATTATTTTTTTCCCCAAGAAAAGCTGCCAGAGAGTGGTATAAAATAATACAATAATATAAAATTATATAGTAATATAAAATAATGCCAGAGAGTGGTATAAAATAATAACAAAACCCCACAAAATAAGCCAAAACGAACCTGCTAGTCTTAATAGAAAAGATGGAAAGTAAGTTATAAGTTTTCAATATATTTTACTTTTAACTCAAAGCTAACTGATTTAAAAAATACTCTGTCCATAATTTAATTTGAAAGCATGTTTGGGAAATATAAATAGATTTGTTGTACAGCTGTGCATGGAACTGGCGTATTGTAAGAAGAGTTGCAGCACTGAAGTAAGCTAAGTTTAACCTTTCATTGTTTACTGTTGCTTTAGTGTTGGAGATGTTGTATGATTTTTATTTTCTTGCCATTGTTAGTCATTCTTAGCATTTACTGGCTACATAAATTGCCATTATGCTCTCGCCTACGAGTATTAAGCATTAAGATTAAATGACAATTTGGTAATTATACTAAGCTATCCAGACCATAGGACCCTTTTGTACAGTCTTGCAGAATTCACTGGAGATTGAAAGTATTTAAAAGTCCGACTTCGTGATGTATTTTGTTGCACTGTCAATGACACATTTGTTTCTCCCACAGCAGCATTAGGCTGCCTGTTGGCAGTTCTGTAGTGGACTTAGCAGGGTCTCCTGCAGGCAGAAGTTGAGTGTTTCTTAGCAGCTGGGGAAGAGAGGCCAAAGACTTGAATTGTCAGGAGCATAAGCTTCCCTCTCAGCAGATCCTCCTTGGTGAGGAACTTTTGCACCACATCTGTCTTAATGTTTGGGGTTTTTTTTTTTCCCCCAGTGGGTAGCATTAAACAGTGCATAACAGTGGAAATATCATTATAGCATTAAAGAGCACAGATAAGGTGTGATGAACAGGAAAACCTTTGATGCAGTCAGTGTGGGCCAGCTGTTTGGGAGGAAATGTAGTTTGGAGAGGAGGGTAGGGTCAGAAAGGTGGACATGGGAGAAGCTAATCTGGTGCTGAAACAGAAATGTTTGTACGATGGTGAGAGTGGAAACACAGAGGGTAATGCAGGCAGAGATGGTTAAGTAATTCCACCTCCCTCAACCTGTGGCAGGGGAACGTGGGAGGGGGAGGCAGAGACCAGTCTGGTGGTATTTGACCCCAAAGGCCATGAGCTGTTTGTTATTGTACTGTGCTGTCACAGCTGAGGTCAGCAAAAGCAGTTCAAGATGGAATTTTGGATTTTATAAATGGGAAGGGGAATCAACTGGATATTCTCTGCAAAGACTCTGATGGGAGAACTTGCTTTCTAGCCTTGACCAAAATTGTCCAGATGTAATGACTTCGAGGCAGATACCAAATGTATGGAGACTTAAACCTTGATAGACTTCGAAGGGATGAAAGCTCTCAGTGGGGATAAATGCCTGCTCTTTATATTCCAGCTACTTAGACCATTTCCACGTGGTGATCACACAAACCTCTCACCCTCTCTGTACACACACACTGTGATTGCCTCTAACAGGCAATGTTGCCAGAGCTCCTACAATCTCTTAGGAGCTTTAAAAAGAAAAGCTTCCCGCAGAAAAAAACCAGTACAGCTGAAGTGGTGTGATGTATACAACACAGTTTCAGCCAAAAATATTAAAACTGGCTTTTTAAGAGTCCCAAAAATTGAAAAGCTGCGGGCAAAGGCCTGAACTACAGGGGAAGTTGGTTGTTTCTAGACTATCATACAAATTTTACATGCTTATTACTTCTTTCTATTTAATTTACAGTGGCAGATGAATGCTGGTTTTGCATCTTAAAATTTACAGAATATTCAGGTCTCACAAGATCATAATATGGGAATTCATATAATCCTGCTTTCTGTTTACATTTTAAATTTTTTATAAGCCAACTTAATCACATCTGCAACTTGTTATTTAGCATAAGGCAAAGAGTGGTCTTTTTGTTCTGTGCCTGTACAGCACCCATCACAATGCATTCTTTGACAGAGAGCTTCTATGCACAAATAATCCCTGATAGTTATAAATCAAGTATGCTTATACAGAATGCAGAAGTTTTTCCTTTGCCTAAACTTTAAATAGCTTGCAGCCAATGTTCTTCACAATGCCATCAGTCGTTCTGTAACAGACTAAATGATTTCTTTATCACCAAAATGTTGAGTAAATTCCCTCAAATCTATTCCCTGGAGTGACATTGCTTTAAAAAAGTCTTTATTACATGTTTACTATTCTATTTACTAAAGAAGATTTGTTGCTTGGTGGTTACGTGGATACTTGTTCTGCATAAATACATTTCCCCCCCTTGTAATGAAATACAGAAGCATGAACGGGTGCTATAAATTGACTGTAGCGATGGGTAATGATCAGGTATTAAATAGAAGCTGGGAACTGATGAATGCCCTTTGTGGTTTATTTCCGGACATCTTAATGCTTGGCCTATTAGGCATTAGACTTTTGTAAGGAAAGTGTGATGTTAGTTTTGGCTGTCAGTCAGAAGCTGTTGATAGAAACACTTTCAATGCTAGCACGTAACTATGTGAACTAGGAACGTTGTTTCTTTCTCTTTCTTGATTTCAGGCCAGCACCACGGTCTGCAGCATGGTGCAGTGCCAGCAGAGCTGCCCCCTTCACACCTGGAAATAGTGCAGCTGGCTGAGAAAGAGGGTACATTACCCTTCAAGTATTTCAGCACTCTGTCTAGGGCTCTCCTTGTGCCCAGGAAGCTCTCTTAAAGCTGTGCTGGGTGTTTGTGTGCTACAGAAACACCTGCAGCGTGTTGATGTAGTTCAGCAGAAACCAGTGCTAGCTTTTATGTGCTGCTACTTTCAAAAATGTTTGTCCCTGTGGTATCCCATCACATTTCTTGTACCTAGTTGTAGCTGCTGATCGCTCCTGTTGTGGACATCAGCCCAGTGTTCGATGAGAGGAGGAAGGGAGGGCTGTGTTTGCGCAGGGGAAGTGCTCGGGGACCAGGATGGATCGCAGCTGCCTTCATGCCTTCTTGTCCATGATCCACTTCCACTGCATCTTCTGCTCTGCGTCCAGCTGGTCTCAGTTGGCTTGTGTATCACCAGGATGTGTTCTCTTGTCCCTGTGGGGTTTGAGAGTGGCTACATAAGCAGTCTTAAAGATGCAAAAGAAGGGTTTTAAAAAACAGAGCTCTACACCGCAATAGAAAGCCTCCTATCTTACTGTAGGATTCTCCTTTCAGCATGCACCAGAAGACATTGCATTCCTTGATGGATTGTGGACTGAGGCCTGGATAAAACAATTCGCAGCAAGTTTGTTTAGTTGAATTGTAAAATTATAGGGATGTTAGTTAAAGACTTGACACTAGGGCATGCAAGTTCCCCTGTGACACTTTTTGAGTTTAAAGTACTTCGCTGGATCCTGAAGTTTGGGAGCTATTTGTGCAGGACCCTGCAAAACAGAAGACATACTCTGCTCATGAAAATACCTTTTCCACTCTTCAGCTGCTTCTGTGGCCTGGAAAAGAGAGACTGGCAAGGAGCTCTTATTTGACAGGGTGTCTTACAGATGAACTCTCCCAAATTCTAAGAACCTCATAGACATGTGTTCTGTAAGAGTTATAAAACAGACTAATTAACCTGAAAGCTGCCCTTTGCCTTTTCTGCTTTGCCTTTTTCTCTAAGCTGCAACTCGAAGCCTCCTGGCCAACTCTTTATTTCCCCATCTCCTCAGGAGTGCCTGAGCTTGTCTTCCACACTTTGGGAAATGAGACCTTCAAAGAAGTGTCTGGGTAGTCCCAAGTGGCAAAGCTGAACCTCACTTCCAGTTGTGCAGGTGTTCACAGTCAGAGTCAGAGCAGGTGTTTTTCTCGTTACTGCTGCTTGGTGTAGCATAGCTGCTTTGGGCAGCAGGTAAACAGGCTTGAGCATGGGATAGGGGTGGAGAAGGTAAGTTTGAGGTCCTGAGAACACGGGTCATAGGTGTGAGCAAGCCCAAGGCTGGGAGGGAATTTTAGGGAAAGTTTCTCTCTTACAGTTTCCAGCAACGTGCCCGGTGTGCCAGGCTGGCCTGAGCAGCACCTTGGGCGTCACTGCAGTGAATAGGTGGGAGAGGAGCTCAGCTGATTGCTCCATTTTGATGTGACTATTTAAAATCCGTTTCTATTCAAAAGGAAAGCTATGTGGAAAAATAGGATTACTTTCAAAATCATTCTAGAAATGATGCAATGTGAATCACTACTGGTTTTTACTGGGTAGGCCTTTCTTAATTTGCTGCAGGGTGAGCTTTGTTAACTTGTCTCTCTGATGTGGTCCATCGCTGTTGTTCTTTGTGGTGAGTAAAAGGAAGGATTATTTTGTAAGCACTTGTTGCTGTTTTAGATTGTGCTATTAGCTATTTTACATGCTCATGTATAACCACAAGAACTTAGATACAGCAATATGGACTACTGCTGACAAGAGCGATAACTTGTAGGAAGTTGTGTAGAAAACATTCCTTGAATCTTATACGTAACAGATGTTAAATGTCATATCAAAATAAAATTAGAGCAACAGCAGATTGGAGATTATTGTTGCTCTCCCTCTTACCCCGACTAGAACAAATTATTCAAGCATATTCCTTTAAAAAATGCTTATTCTTCACTGGTTGCTCACTGCTGTCGTTTTTAAACGCTCTTTGAATCAACTCTGTTCAGGTTGTATCTGTGGCTTAAAACTTCATAATGCCACTGGTAAGAAAAATGTGTTCGGAGGAAAGATATCCACAGACATTTAGGTTAACATTTCAAAAGCTTCTCCAGTTGTATTGAAGGTGTGATACACTGCTTCAAATGTATTTGATGCAAGTGTATAATGACACAAGATATTGGTGTTATTAGCATTCGTACAGTTTATTTTTTTTTTACAACTTCAACTTCTGCTTAAGTTAGCTGTGCTGTGCTTTTTGGATAGTGTTTAAAAAGTGTTTGTGTTTAACTTTCTTAAAAAAAACCCAACCCCACAGTATTTGCGAGGAGAGAACGTTTCTTCTCCTTTATATTTCTAAAGGTAGATGTGAGGAATTTTTTTTTTTTTCCCTTTTATTACTTTTCTTGAGATGACTTAAACTTTACTCTGTGACCCAAGCACACATTGGATAAATTAACTCTATGTTAACGGAATATTGCAGTCATCTCCATTAACTGCTTTACTGAATGTAATTGGAAATAACTTCCTTAGAAACTTGTATATATTTTCTGTTAATGCAAGAAACAGATGATAGTAAAAGACTGTCTGAAAAATTGATGTAGTATAATTTTGTTTTGTAGGTATTCAGCATATGTTCCATATGAATGTAATTTTCAAATACAAAACAAAATACTACTTTCTTTGAAGAAAATGAAAAAATTGTCTTTGATTTCAAGGGGAACAGAATATCTCTCTGAAAAGGTATAAATATAGGAAAAAACAGGTCACAGGCAAGAGCAGAAAAGACCTTTTAGCTTGCTTAGGACTGTTACATACTTCTCGTGTTATTCCGAGGTTTAGACTGAGGCAAGCCATTGAACACAGTATAGTGAAGTACCGGTCTTCTACCCTGACAGTGTCTCCTTTCCCATCTCAATCATTTATTTTAGTATATATATTCCTTGCTACCTTTGTACCGTCATCTTCTCGCACCTAGAGATACGTCAGGCTTTTATCTGCTGTGCTAGTTGAGGGAGTGTTGTTCCTCTGTTACACGACAGTCCCTTTTTTTTTCAGGTAGTGGTAGTTGAATTCTGTCCCAAAAGCTGTTGGGTTTGGCATTGGTACCTGATGGTGGGAAAGAATTGTCTCGGGCTTCCAAGAGTTGTCTGAAAATCTGTACAAACTGCATTGGTTATGCATTGCTCATGATTTCAAGCTTCTTTTCCATAGAAGAGCTGGGATTTTTGAAAGAAAAGTTGAGATTCTAATTTTGTACTTATAAAGAAGGTCCCTCTCCCCACCAAATAGATTTTAACATTTGTGTATCCTGTTTTGTACCCTGGCCTATTGTGAAGGTTATCTTGACATCTTTTCCTCTCTCTCTTAAATCAGTTATTTTCCTCTGTCTAGTCTATTATTTAAAGTTTCATGTGGCTGCTCTCTTCTCTTTGTATCTGTACTTAGCATTAGCAGGTGGTTTTCATAAGCCACATCTGTGTTTTTATAAGGGTGCTGCATCAGCAACCTTTCCCAGATGTATTTTTCTTGCAGGTGCATGAAACAAGTTTTCTAGCTTTCGTAAAGGGCAGACTTTCTAGCTCTTTAAAAGGGCAAGACTCTGCATGTCCTGAGTGGCCACCACCCCACATTCAATGGAAGATGATGCTTCTGCTGATGTTACTGTGCCTATGCATTTTCATAGAATACTTTTCCTGAGAATACTTTATGAGTGTCAGAATGTTTTGGAGCAAAGATCACGTTTTTTGTAGGCAACAAAGAAAAATGGGGCACAACATCATTTATGTGAATTTTTGGGAGGCTTTCCCAAGTTTCCTTTTCTTTACTCCAGTGCTTAATGTGAACTTTGAAAAGCAGTGCAATTCTAAAATTTTCCTGCCATCTTCCTATCCATAGCATAAATTTAAAGCAAAAAAAAATGGAGTTTTGCACTTCTGTTTTTTGAATGTAATGGTTTACTGTAGTAGCTGCTTTTGATACAATGGAAGAGGTACCTAAGCAAGAAGGATGAGTCAGTGCATTGCAGCATTTAGTGTTCCAGTCATTTATTTAGTCTCTGATCACAGGCTGAAGTTCTGTCCTAGTGAAATAAAAACTGTCCACTGTATCCAAATCCTGGTTTGCATGAAAACCATGGCATTTGCACAGAATTTCTTTGATATAAAAGTCCATGAATTATTCTATCTTATTACTGAATAAACAGCTGGGAAATCAAGGGTGGATGAAACTGGACTGACTAAACTATTGGTTTAATGCTCCTTATTTCATGCTCCTGGTGATATGCCAGATGAAAAGACTTTTTCCACTCCTCTCTCCTCCTCCCCTCAATGCCTCTGCATGAAAGAGAAAGCATCATTACTACATAGCTCTTCAAAGGAGTATTTCTGACTTGGACTGCACAAGGAAGGTGCCTGACCCTCTTGTTCTAGCACTACAAGACTTCAGAGGTGGTGCAGACACTCTTCTTGTACGGTGCTATCGCATGGGCAGGGTTGCAGAGCTTACAGTGACCAGAGGAGGCCATCCCGTGCTTCGTCTCCTAGCTCCTGAATATGTATTTATCAAAAGTCTGGTAAGATTACCTAAAGGCTTCATCAGTTTGAGCAGGTCTGTATCTGAAAAGAGCACTGACAATGCCTCATATTTATCTCTGCACCAAATATTCTTGCTTTTATTGCGATATAATATTTGCAAAGAAGAATAGGGCAAAATCACGCAAGGATGATGGTGATCACTAGGAACAGTGATTTTAGACTCTCAGATTGTGTTAGCTGTTATCAAAGCCAATGAAAGCTTTATGCATCTGGGAACAGCCTTGAAAGATAATTTGAGCAGCATGTCTAAAATAGCAGTGTGCTGTCTTGGTGAACTCTGTGTACTTGGCTTCAGTATAGATTTTTAAATTATTTATAAACATCTGTTCTGAATTTGGTAGGAGGATTGCTGACTGGGTGTGCACTCCTATTTGTAAGACACAGTAAACCAATTATGGCTTAAAGAGAAATATCCAAAGTGGTATTGGGTAGTACTAAATAAGGAGAAACATTGAAAACAAACTTTAGGTAAATTGACTTGATTGTTGATAGCTGTTATTTTTTAAAATAAAAAAAATCCTGCATTGGCCAAAGTGAAGATGTTTTGTACTACTAGCAGCTCGACTTTCACAGGTTTCAGCAGTAGGGATAAGGATACTGGCATTGCCGAAGGGATGCTGTGTTTGGGAAAGTTGTGGTTGTAGGTCCTTGTCAGTAGAGTGTGGAAGCTCTAATAGCTGAGAGCTTTTACATTCTTCTCTACAATTTCTGATGGAGCAGCACAGACTCCCAGTGCTCTTCTCATTGCACCCTTGGTCTCTCAACAGATGTTTCCTCAACCCATTTTGTCTGGGACAGTGTTCTCTGAAGACTAGCAAAACTTAGAAAATACACCCTGCAGCATTTGGTTCTTTGTTTCCGTGGCTGAGATGGCAGCTTCTCAAAGATATTTCTGCCAAGGCCACCGATAAAGAAGAGGCAGAGATGGTGTACAATATGCTATTAATGGAAAGGAAAAGATAAATCTGACTACATGAATTTTTCCCCATAAAACCTTTAGACTCTATGACCCAGAAGAACCTTGGGTTAGATTATACTCAGCTGCTGGTGATTGCATAGGTGTGCCATTAGATGGCACAAAGTGTCCCAGGTATGAGGAGGTAGTTTGGTAGATGTTGTACCTTACTTACAGGCTATCATCATTATGGATCACGTCCTGTCAAGTGACAGAGCCCTGGAGACAGCAGCAGTGACCGCTGCCACGCGTTCTGCTATGCACACTGCGAGTGTGCTTTGGATTGTGTTTGCAGGCACAGTAAGCCACAGAAAGCTACTTTTTCTGGTCTAGAAAAAAATATAAAGGGAATTGTTCCAAAACGCCCAAACCTACATGATTTCCCAGATCAGCAAAAAATCTCTGCAAGAGAGGAGGGATTGATACTGTTGCCCTACTACTTTTGAGGTGCTCTGACTCGGTACAGGTTGAGACTGGACTTAGAGTTAACTTGAGTGACGGGAACTGCTGGGAAAGCTTCAGTACATGCAACAGTGACATTGCAGGGTTATTTTCAAAGTTTATATGAGTAGGCATATTAAATTCTTTCAAAAACTATTTAAGATTTCTGTGTACTTGAGTGATATATATTGGTTTTTGTATGTTTGATTACTTTGGGGAGTACTTTGGTAGTCTGTCTTTGTAGAAGCTGTTTTGTTATATGACAAGACTACTGCTGACAACTCCAGTATTTTTGCTTTTTTGCATATAAAAATATTCTATAATTCTATGATTCTATAGTCTAAAAGAAACAGCTACCCCTTTTCTTTCCACCCACCACTTCCTCCAGCTCTGTTATACCTCCCTGCCCTTCTGATTTCTGTGTCTGACTTCATCATGGTAAGATCCAGCAAGCCATGGAAATGACCCTCAGGGGTCTTGACCCCATGATTTTTTTTCCACTGGCATGTTCTTCTGTGTCTTGCAGAGTGTCTCTTGTCCCTTTGGGGCTATATGAGCTTTGCATGTTGGCTGCAGAAATTATCATAGGAAGAGCAGACATTATGAGGAGATTTCCTTTGGGCTTTCCCTGGTTTTTTGGACTGCCACAGCAGCTTCGCTTCTGTCAGGTCTCTTGTGGCAGGTTACAGGCCTGTCACTACATTGCTTTTTGTGTGTGGCTGCTCTGTTGCTGGGTCTGCGTTTCTCTAAAACTTCCTGTGTCTGAGAAGATCCAGGTCTTTCCTAGGACATCCACTATTAAAAGGTTCTTCTACAGCTCTTTCTTTGTACAGGTAACTTGTTTTCACGCAGAGTAATTTAGAAGAGAAACACTTCCCAAACGTAGGAATTTTTCAAGAAATGGGGAAGGAGGGAGGATGGGGAAACTCATGTTAGGAACACTGTGACTTCTCAGCAGCGGAAGTCAAATGCGTTACTAGAGAAGTGTATTTTGGAGCTGCTTTTATCGGTATAAGGAATACAGCTTTCATACCCATTCCTAAGGATGAAGGATTGTTTTATTGTTCAAATGCAGACTGTGGTGCACATGTGTGTAAGATTGTACGGACAAACATGGGTTTTGCTGAGAGAGCTTTTGTAGTGTTTGCAACCTGGAGTTAAGGTCAGAACATCTAGATCAGCTGTGCATCTGCTGTGCCTCCCGGGCTTGCAATATTAAATGTGCCCTTTCCCAAAGTTCTCTGGTTTGTACCTAAATGAAGTGTGATAAACAGTTTGTAGAGCTGGAGATGTGTGCAGATCTGTGGTTTTTGAGCCCAATGCTCTGTGCTTGTTATTTCTGCAGAAGGGAGGGGTCTCTGTTTCCACCACTGCTGTTCCTGCCCTTTCTGTTGCTTTGGCTTAATGACCATTTGATTGCTGTGCTCAGTGCTCTGAAGGACCCTGCTGGTCCGGTGGTACCTTGATTATTTATTCTAGTGTGTTTGTTTTCTGATCACAGCTAACCTGAGTCATCGTATGGGTGTGTAATTGCTAGATCAGCTTCAAGAAAAGAAGAGGCAACACATGTGAGAGGTTGGAGCAGCAAAGAGAAGCTGCTTCTTGTGGCAACAGCTTGCAGTTGAGATAAAAGTTTGGGTGCTATCAGTCTGCAGCCAGAGCAAGGGGAGACTTTATCATAGAATTGTAGAATGGGTTGAGTTGTAATGGACCTCTGGGAGCTATGCTTGGATTTTATGTGAAGTGCCTTGTAGAAGTATGTGTTACGGAAAGTCTCAAGGCAGGTGCTCCAAAGTTAGAAATGTGAAGCACAGAGACTTCAAGGTAAAAACATTATTTCTGTCTGTGAAACGGGTGCTGACTATGCTCAGAAATGTGTTTAAAGCTTCTTTATATTTGCAAAGCAAAAATGCTACAATGATTGTTTCTGTAGTGTCCTAAGGCAATGTTTTGAGTGTTGCTGTGGTACAGAAGAACTGAAAACTGGGGAGGAGAACCCTAGAGGCAGGACACGTTGTGGTATGTGCTGCCTGGGAGTTAGGGCCGTCAGTGAAAGGAGATTGTAGTTGGTGGGTAGCAAATACTTCTGTATACAAGTAAGGATATCTACAAAAGATGGATCTAAAGCCATGAGCAAATGCTGGTCAACTGGGATTGAATTTTCTAACTCTTGTTTTATCTTACCTGCTTTTCAGCTGACCTGATGATGCTAAGCTGCTATATTATCAGGGGATATATAGATATAGCTAATCTCAAATGACAGTGTCTGGGTTTTCAGCTTAATTTTAAACAAAGTGTGACAAAACTTTGCTAAGGACAAATGGATTTTATTTCTCACAGCTTTACAAAGGTATTAGGCTTCATTAAAATAAAAAAAGTTTCAGCTTACAAGATCTGTCAGTATCGGAGCGCAAAGCAAAGTACAGAAGAAATATAAAGAATAAAAAAAATTTCTCCTCTTTTCAGTATCAAAGTGTTTATTTATTTTTCTTCTGTCAGAGAAGTAGGCCACTGACCTCTTCTTCCTCATTTCTGTGTTGCTATATATATATATCAAAAAAATCCATGATAACTGTTGAGAGGGATGTGAGTCAACACACCTATAAATAAGAACATCCTTAACCTCAAATAACTGTCATTCTGTCAGCCCCAAAATAAATTGGGTTATTGGGATTTGGGGTTTTGTTTTTTGGGGTTTTTTTTTTGCTTTGACCGCATCCTTTTTTTCATCATTTTTAATATATGACTCATTTTGGAAGTGGAAGTTGGTTGTAGTAGTTGCTCGTAGCTGTGTTCAGTGGGAATTTTAGACAGTGTATATGAATGCATGGTCATTTGCACTTGGGGAACAATCCTATCTATTTACATTTCAGGACAATTTTTTTTTTCTTCAGAGTACTTTTTTGGGGACTACAACAAACAGTTTAAATTATGTGGTAAAAGTAAGACAATATGACCTGAGGATACTCACAAGTCTATGATGTGGATCCTACTCTGCAAAGCACCACCAATCTACCACTGTTTCACTTTACTTCCTTGTAAATGTAATTTAAAACAACAACTCTTAATTAGAAATAAAATCCTAACAAAGAATTTACGAAAAGCAGGTTGAAACTATTTAATCAGCACGGTCCTTTTTTTTTCTCCTCTCACCTATTGAGATACCTGGCTGCAGATTTGCAAATGCTACTTCACGTCACAGAGTGTCTTATAAGCAAAAGTATCTGTTTAATAGCTCTTATGTGCAGTTTGGTAAACACATGCAGCTTTCTGTGTCTTCATGTTTTAAATGGATTTTTTTTTAATGTGTTCTGTTTCCAGAGAGAGTGCAGAAGGAGGAAGAGTGATTGTAGAAGTTGATGACAAAGTGGCAAAAGTCAGAAATATAAAGGTATGCTTTTTGTTGTCTTCTCTTCCTCATATGAGGATCCTGATTCTTTTCTAAGTTTGCTTGGCTATTGGATCATTCTAATACAGATATTAAGGGAGAAGTTTAAACCAGCACAGCTCTAAAATAATTGCAGCAAAAGCGTGGGGTAGAATTGTTGTGGTTTGAGGTTGGTTTGTGGTTTTTCGTTGGGTTTTTTGTTTGTTTTTTTTTGACAGATGTAATCTGTAGTTGTGTTTTTTCTATTTTGTATTTCTCAAATCTTCTGCAATCTGGCTGCACACCGTCATTCAAAGCTGTTAATACATTTTTTAGGATTTTGTGTTCATCTTACTGTTAGTAACATCTGGAAAATTTCTTTCCCTTTGTCTCTCCTCCTCCTCTCATATTTGCACTCAGAGTGCAACTGACTCGCATGAAATGGAGCAAGACATGCTCAGCTACATTTCAGGCCTTGGTAAAAGACCAAGTACTGCAAGAATAAACTGAATGTAGCTGTTGTCCTCCGAGAGAGCTCTGGAGCCAGCGTACATGGGAACCAGTCCTCTGGTTTAGACTCTTCAAATACATAAAGCTGCCATGGCCCTTCACTAAATTAAACAGAATGGGAGCAAAGCAATTTTGTGTTGCCAAACATGTTTCTGCTCAAAGGCAAATAAAGGAACCATGAGATTACTGTGGGGATCCTAGAGGATGGGTGCATTTTGTGTTTCTTGACTCCTTTTTCTTTATGTCTGCAAGCAATCCAGTTATTCTAGATTGCTGGTTCAAGAGCGATAATACATTAGGTTTCTCAAGAGAAGCCTTGGCAAAAATTGAATGAAAGCAGTAGAACTGTTTATATTTTTAATTTTTGTATTAACTATAGGTGCTCAATTTTAAAGAAAAAAAAAAGGGGGGGGAATTTTAGTAGTATAGGAGGTCTTGTGGGTATGAAACATGGCTTATTTTCTGTATGTTTCCTCCTCAAAGGCCTCATTTGCAGAGTCTGAAACTCACCACTCTCTGAAATAACTTCCCTCGGTTCTTTATATTTGTGACAAAGCTCTCAGAGACGCTTATCTGCTGAGTACTCAGGAAATTTTTGGTCCCTTCTGCAGGGCTGAGAGGGTTTGGGCCTCTGTGTGTTCCTGCTCTGCCAGAGAGCCCTCCCTCTCCACAGGTGGAGGCCTCAGGCGTGTAATTGCCTAACTGGGTCCAGCTGAGCCTTGTCAGACCTAGAGGTTGGGGGGGTTTGTTTTAAATTGTGTTAATATAAATAGGAGCTGTGGGCTGCCTTGGGGCCTTGAGGAAACCACCGTGGTGGGGTGGGCTGCTCGTAGCAGGCCAAGAAGGGTCGTTTTGAGGCGTGAGGGGCTGGCTTGTGGATGTTTGCTTTCCTGAGGTTTCGTAACTGGTGAGTTTTGTAAAGGGAATGAGTTTGCTTTACACATAAACTAAATTTAGATGGTCTTTGATTAATCTGGTGTGCATTGTTGTACAGTGGGGTAGGTGTGTTTTGTAGTGCAAAGCAGGCCCCTCCTCTCACTGGAAGGGTAATTGCCTCGGTGATTGAGGGCCTGTTTTCCTCGAGTGGAGAGGTATTCTTTTCCCACTTTTTTTTTTTTTTATATCTACATGTTGCAGTAGGAGAGTGTTGCTGCAAACCATCTTCTGCTTATTGCTGCAGAAAACCTGAGAAAATAAAAGGTAATTGCATAAAAATCTCTGAATCGTGACATGTTGAAAATGTCATTATTGAAGATGATCAGTAGACTCATTAGAGATGGTAATTCTGACTAAAGGAAACCTTGGTTGTACTTAATTCAACATGACAACTTCAAAATTGTGCAGGGTTAAAAAATCATAGAATCGTAGAATGGCCTGAGCTGGAAGGGACCTTAGAGATCATTTTAATCCAGTAACCTCCTTACTTCAAAGAGAATTTAAATTATTTCTGTTCTCTTTCACTTTGCTCTTTCCTGGTTTAAAAACTACAAACCTGTCAGATGGGTCTGTAAATTAATTTACCTTGTAAACCCCACAACTGGTGGCAGAGTTCAGTGCTTACAGGGCCTTTTATCCAGGAATCTGGCAGACAGCACTATCGCCTCTAGGTTTTGGGGCCATTATTGAAATGGTTTATTTAGGTATCAAGTTATAACAGAACTCTTTTTTTGCTTATGTTATTGCAAATGTCATAGTTACAGTTACCAGTTAGGCCAAAATTATATGTGGATGGTGTTAATTTTGTGTATCGTTTGACTCATTGCTCTCTTTCTTTGATGAGTAGAACAACGTGTACTTCCTTGTTCATAAGCTTGTTTGTTTTACTATAAATCACGTGGGCAAGGTTATACAGAAAGACCTATGTGATTCCTTTGATTTCAGTGATTATTTCTGACTATTATGCTAGAAAGTCTTCCCTGTCATTGTTACTAACCTGTAAAGGTTAGGTTTGTAGTGTGCAGTTTCAGTGACCGAAGCATTAGCTTGCAACCGTGACAAAGCAGAGGGGCAATGGGGGAAGAGACCTGCATTTTCCACTATGCGGTAAGAAAATAGGTTTTGTTTTCTCAACTGGGGTCTCATTTTTGTGATGCAATTCTCAGTGAAACAGGAGAATGACAGAGAAATGTCAAAAGGGTTATAGAGCTTTCCTGAGAGTGTGTAGGTGTTGTGAAGATTAACTAAAGTGTGTTTTTTGTCTACAGCCTGGAGAACCTTAGCTGTAGTAAATGAACTCTTGAGCAGAAATGCTTAGGCAGGTCTGTCATGGATGTCTCTGTCTCACTCCGAACATGAAAGACAATAAAATAGAGGATAAACTACTTGCCATTCCTTTTCCATCATACAGATCCTAGACAAACTTCCCGTTAGCTTAAAAATGCTTACTTTTTGGTCAGCTTCA